ATTACATTTCAAATGTAATAATGAAGTTTATTATCCTTCAGAAAGGAAGAAATTGTTTACTGACCACTATTTGTAATTTCTTTTGCAAATGTGAACAAGAACATGCTTGATTTTAGCTAAGGTCTTGCTGCTGCTACTACTTTTACCATTTACAAATAAAATAAATCCTGTCTAAAATCCAGTAGTGCCCATTGGAGCTTTCCTCTTGGGAAACTATTGCAGTGTCTTTCAAAAATATGAAAATATTATAAAGTCTTTCTCTATTCTGAGTAGAGACACTGTAAAAATGGTACTGTGGGGTTTCTCCTGTGCATCTCAGTGATTACACTTGATGTGTAGACTTAAAACAGAAAAAACAATAAGTGAAGTCTGTAGCTTTATTGATACAATGAACTGATTGGTCTTGAAGAGAATGTTAAATTACCCTTATGGCCACCCAGAACACTCCAGCAAGAAGCCCTTCAGTCACTCTGCATTTCTCACTTGAAGGAGGAGATACAGCCATCCATACCTCCTGTCCTTCACGGCAGACTCAGGGACTCGCAGCAGACCAAAGCCCTGCCTGGGTTGGACACCACTTCCCAACATACCTAATGTGCTGTTTTACAAACTGCCTCTATGCTGTAACCCAGGAGTGTCTTGTACAAATACATTGACAGGATAACTAGACTTTCTGGCAGCTGAGGGTGTGGCGGGAAAAAAGGTATAGTGTTGACCAGGTTTACCTTCCAAACCTGAAGGAGTGATGAGCCCCAGCCTGAGTAAGGCAGAACTGGTAGGATGAAGCACAGGAATATAACTATAGTAAAAGAAATGAAGGCACATCTCTGAAGAAGTAGGGTTGTAGCTATCAGCACCCCATCGTGCCTCTGTTGATCAATTTGTAGCTTGTAGGAGGAAAGGGGAAGCAGAAAGACCTTGTGCAATGAAACCTAAAGGACAGAGGAGAGGGAGGGCCTGCTTACTGCCCATCCACTCTGCCTTCCTCCTTGCTGACTGCTTCCAACACACCATTCATGAAAGATGTTAAAACTTATTCCATAGTTGGTCTTCCTCCACCCTGGTGTCTGCTTTCTCTGCAAGCTGAGATTCATTGTTGAAAGTCCTCAGTCTCCTACTTCCCCAGCATGGCTGCCCACAGACCTCCCTCCTGCTACCCTTGTCTTGAACAGCTAAGGCTGTGGAGGGATGCAGGAGATGCATCTCCCTATGCAGCATAGACCGCATGAGATTGCATCGGTAGCTTCTGTAGTCCAGCATCCTGTGCCAGCGAAGCAGCTTTCTTTATGGTTCAAAATCAGGGACCAGCATTGTCCTGGAGTGTTTGTTTTTAGCTGAGGCAGTTAACAGTTTGCACACAGTCATACCTAAGAGTTCGCTACTTTATTTATCCAGTGCACTGCAAGGGGTAGTGTCATCATCTTGAGTATTGGACACCTGTAGGGCACCTGTTCTTCAGATTCTGTGGGGAGGACAGATAGTAAGGAGAGAGAGAGACCACCAGGACTCTCATGGCAACAAAAGATCATGTACTTGGGGAATGACCTGGGCTGCATGCTTTGACGTGATACTTGTGGTAACCCATTGAGAAACACACAGACTTAGCAGTGCTGTCCATAGAGGAGCAGGCAATGTGATCACTCTCTCCACAGGGAACTGGAGCATATCTATATGTTGGGGTCTAGATGCTAAACCCCTGTTTGTATCCAAACATTTCTTCTCATCTCCAGAAACAACCACAAACCAAGACAGCAAATACAGGGACTGGGCTGGGGGTACCAAATGTTTGGCTTGTCAGTGTTTTCGCTCTATGTAGCCCCATGTTTCATTATTAAAAAGGTTTTGTTTTGTTTTGATTTTGACCCTGAAGGCAGGTGTTTTCAACCTTTTGACAATCCAGAGTGTAGTTGCTCTGGATAACACATTGAAGACGCACATGCAGGGAGTCTGAGTGGCTTTTAGTGTTGCATTGGAGCCCATGCGGTTCTGCATTACTTAGCAAACATTAGCAGCAGCAGTCAGATGAGAAGCTTGGTAGTAAATCTGTTGTGAGGGTCAAGAAGGAACAACCTCACATTGCAGTCTGCTGAAATTCCAGTTTAACCACTGAGGTATGAAAGTTGTACAAGAATGGAAAAGCAGAAAGCGAGAGCAAGCTTAAACTCAGCTTTATTTTGGTGTTTAGAAGTTGCACCAAAAAGGCGTAGAGTTTGTTAATTACTTTGGTAATTAGCACACAGATTTGTACACTGCTTTCCCATTCATCCCCCTCAGAAACAGATTTTAGAAACCGTTTCCCTAGACATGGAAAACATAAGTATTGTCAAGTGTCTTCTCTGAAAGTTCACTTGTCAAATCTAAGATAGTGTAGTTTCACCATGTTAAAGCTGAGGCAGGATAAAATGCTGCATGTTGCTTCCTACCTTGCTCAGCAGAGATATGGTAGCAAATTCACTTCCATGCATTGGCACAGTTACAGTGCTTTGTTTTCCCAGAGGGGCCAGGCCAGTTAGCTCTCCAGCAAGGCAGTGACAGGGCTAACGTGCTTTCTTCTCCTGTTACTCAGTCTCATGACTGGCATTTTTTTTTTTTTGTCTTAGTTTAACAGATATTTGTTGGCTTTCTTGGCATTATTCTCAGTAGACTCTCAGGTAATCACATGGGGCCATGTGTTGCCAGTGAATTATTTTGCACTATGCTTAGCAGCCTGGCTGGTGTATACCACCTGGAGCAACTGCTGGGTGAAAATCACACATGCATACCTAGGAATTAAAAATCATAGGCAGTTTTCTAAGCATCTCTAGATAGGCTTTTGAGTGTGGGACAAGGGAGGCTGGAAACTTTCTATTATTTTCATTACTTTGGGAGATGGGTCATTTAGAGCACCACTAGGTTAGGGTACATTGTTCTGTCTTGGCAAATATTTTGTCGAAGGGTACATACTATTTCTTTAAAAATATAGCCTAGGGGAGAGGAGGAAGAGTTCTTGGCAGAAACATTTACATGAAGCAGTGTGATAGAGCAGCCAGGGAATATATTGCATGCCAATAAAGTTCCTTCTTCAGTGTGAAAAGTGCATGCTTTGTGAGTGACAGTGGGTCTTTTTCTACCTTTTGATATTTTAACTTGACCCATCCACCAGCATGCCTTTTCAATCCTTTCCAAAGAGATGCCAAAGCTAAAGAGAATTTTTTTTTTTTTGAGAGTAATCTGTGACCCGGCAAGGTTGGCTGTAAGGTTTGTTTGTTTTTCTCTCTTCCCCTGGTTCCTACTATTCTCTTACTCCCACATTCTATCTGACTCTTGTTTTCAAATGTATTCTTTAGCCTTCTCCTTCCCTACCTACTGCATCCTGTGTTCTGCTTTCTGACTTCCTTCTCTTTTCTTATAACTTTTCTTTCCAGTTCCTCTTTGTTCTGGTCCCCAAGGAGCAAGGAGTGAAACATTAACAGTTGCTGAAGTACCGAGTTAGTATGGCTGTTATGAGTTTAGAGTTCAGGTGAGGGCTTTGGGAGACATCCTGTGTGTATGACATTGTGCCCCAGAGTCCTTTGCACTGCTTCATTGCTGGGGTAGCAGAGAGGAAATGTTTTATCTGTGCTTCACCCCCTATCATCTACAGTCTGGCATTTAAGATAAAAATAGTGATCAAAGTCTATCTTTGCTAAGATATGGATGTTCCAGTTATTACAACTCAGTTAACAGGCATAAATTGCTCTACTATTATCAGATGTGTGTCTCATTTATAAAAAAGAAGCTGAAAAGCTTCAGACAACAGGGTAAACAAAGCAAGTGGATTTGAATTATCACGTCTCGATAGGGTATATGGGAGTTGTAGGTACTATGACAGTGGTTTGGAAAACACCATTTCACAGTAAATTCAGCATGTGTACCTCTGTCTTTCTAAGTTGGAGTGCTGCTTTTACAGTAAAGCTCTTGGATTGGTAGGGCATACATCCCTGTGTTATCTGTACCTCTTTGTCAGTTGAGGATCACCATCCTCAGAAAACTATGCTTACAACACAGAATCATAGAATCAACTGGGTTAGACAAGACCTCCGAGATCATCAAGTCCAACCCTTAACATGTTCAAGAACTTCCTCTACTGATGTCAGCATATCCTGAATATAAATCACAGGTATAAAATACATTACTAATAATATCTCCATGTTGCATGGGTAAGGCTGGAAAATGTAGGTCTCTATTATCCTCCTGAGGATACATCTAATTTGTGTATTGTGAGCTTTTATAGTGTCTGAAAATACACCTTTACAGACCATATAGAGAAGAGCATTTTCTGGATGAGGTTAGCTGTAGCCAGAGGTTTGATTAGTCTGATCCTTGTGGTTCACAAAATCTACTAAGTGGAAATGTGTTTGGAAGAAGAAACTTTTTAACATAACAGTCAATGTGCTGGCAAATTTATCTTTCTGCTAATTTTGTATGGCTGTGATGCCCAGATAGTTATCAGTTGTGTGCTAATGTAATCTTCTGTCCTGCTGGTTTATTTATAAACTAGGATTGGTCTGTTTATGTGTGGCTGCATATGGCAATTAGTTTTCACTTTTTATCTTACTTTACACATTTTTCTATATGCAAGACATAAGGAAGAATCCACCTTGTAAAACAAGTTTGATATAAATGGATTGGTGAGTAGATAATACCTGTCCTGTTGGAATACTATGTACTTTTACCAACATCATTCTAACAGAGAAATAAATAGAGAGAAATTAAAACCAGATGTATTTTTATCTATATATGTATAAAATTTCACTGTGTTTCAGATTTCTAGATGATTTTATACATTTTTCATTTAACTTTTGTAATTTAAAATATTGGGCTTGGGAATGTAACTGCAGTAGGTAGTTATTCTGTGATTTCTTGCAAGACTACTTGAAATAAAAAAAGAAGCTAACACAAAGGTGATTTTTAAAATGGGGAAATATACTCACACATATATATATATATTAGTTTAACGCATATCTTCTAACTTGTTTCAGGTTGAAGAAACTTCTTGAGCAGGAGAAGGTCTATCAAGCCCGGAAGGAGAAGGAACATACAAAGAGAATCAATAAACTAAGAGAAGAACTAGTCAAGCTCAAATCATTTGCACTCATGCTGGTGGATGAAAGACAAATGCATATTGAACAACTTGGTCAACAAAGCCAGAAAATACAGGACTTAACCCAAAAACTAAAAGAAGAAGAAGAAAAGCTTAAAATTATTAGTGCAAAAACTAAAGAAGATGGACAAAAACTGATGAAGTTAGAGGCAGAACTTGAACACAAAACTTCATCATTTTCTCAAGAACATGAGGAGATGACTGCTAAACTGGGTAATCAAGAGTCACATAATAGACAGCTAAGGCTTAAGCTAGTGGGGTTGACTCGCAGAATAGAGGAGCTGGAAGAAACTAACAAAAATCTTCAAAAAGCTGAGGAGGAACTTCAAGAGCTAAGAGATAAAATAGCAAAAGGGGAATGTGGGAACTCTAGCTTAATGGCAGAAGTGGAAAACCTCCGCAAGCGTGTGCTTGAAATGGAGGGCAAAGATGAAGAGATCACAAAAACCGAATCCCAGTGCAAAGAGCTGAAAAATAAACTGCAAGAGGAGGAGCACCATAGCAAAGAGTTGAAACTTGAAGTGGAAAAACTGCAGAAAAGAATGTCAGAACTAGAGAAGCTGGAAGAGGCTTTCAGTAAAAGTAAGTCTGAATGCACTCAGCTACACTTAAACTTGGAGAAAGAAAAGAATTTGACTAAAGATTTGATAAATGAGTTGGAAGTGGTAAAGACTCGAGTGAAGGACCTTGAGACATCAGAAAGCAAGTTGGAAAAGGCTGAAATAAGCTTAAAAGATGACCTTACAAAGCTGAAGTCGTTTACTGTAATGTTGGTTGATGAACGAAAAAATATGATGGAAAAAATAAAACAAGAGGAAAAAAAGGTTGAGGGTCTAAACAAGAATTTTAAAGTTGAACAAGGGAAAGTTATGGATGTAACAGAGAAATTGATAGAAGAAAGTAAGAAATTTTTGAAACTGAAATCTGAAATGGAGGAAAAAGTGTCTAGTTTGACAAAGGAAAGAGATGAGTTAATTGGCAAACTGAGAAGTGAAGAAGAAAAATCCTCTCAACTAAGCTGTAGAGTTGACTTGTTAAAGAAAAGAATTGATGGTGTAGAGGAAGTAGAAAGAGAAATTACAAGAGGTCGAACCAGGAAAGGACCAGAGCATGGTTGTCATGAGGACAACAAGATTAAGGAACTCACTGTTGAAATTGAAAGACTGAAAAAACGCCTCAAACAATTGGAAGTGGTTGAAGGAGATTTGATGAAGACAGAAGATGAATATGATCAGCTAGAGCAGAAATTTAGGACTGAGCAGGATAAAGCTAACTTTCTTTCTCAACAGTTGGAGGAAATGAAACTCCAGATTGCCAAAACCAAAGCAATAGAAAAAGGTGAAGTGGTGAGCCAGGAGGCAGAACTGAGGCACAGGTTTCGTCTGGAAGAGGCCAAAAGCAGAGATTTGAAAGCAGAAGTTCAAGCTCTTAAGGAAAAAATCCATGAGCTGATGAACAAAGAAGACCAGCTTTCTCAGCTCCAAGTTGATTATTCAGTTCTGCAGCAAAGGTTTATGGAAGAAGAAAACAAAAACAAGAGTATGGGACAGGAAGTTCTGAACCTAACAAGAGAGCTGGAGCTTTCTAAGCGTTACAGCCGTGCTCTGAGGCCCAGCATAAATGGACGAAGAATGGTCGATGTCCCTGTGACATCCACTGGTGTGCAGACAGATGCCGTAAGCAATGAAGCAGCAGAAGAAGAAACTCCTGCAGTGTTTATAAGGAAATCCTTCCAGGAGGAGAATCATATCATGAGCAATCTGCGACAGGTAGGTCTGAAAAAACCCATGGAGCGTTCTTCAGTGCTCGAGAGATATCCTCCAGCAGCAAATGAGCTTGCTATGAGGAAATCTTGGATACCGTGGATGAAAAAGAGGGAACCTGGGGCTCAGGCAACTCCTGATAAAGGAGCCCGGACCCACGGTAGTCCAGCACATCCTGGAGAGGTTGTCCTTTCACCAAAACAGGGTCAACCTCTTCATATTCGGGTGACACCAGACCATGAGAACAGCACAGCAACTTTGGAGATAACCAGTCCAACTGCAGAGGAATTTTTTTCAAGTACCACTGTCATTCCTACTTTGGGAAATCAGAAGCCACGAATAACCATCATTCCCTCTCCAAACGTTATGCCACAAAAAGGAAAAGGCAGTGAAAGTCCAATGGGCCCAGATCGTTCTATGTCTCCAGTCACTATAACAACGTTCTCCAGGGAAAAGTCCCCAGAGGGAGGGAGAGCACCCTTTGCCGACAGACCTGCATCGCCAATTCAGATTATGACAGTATCAACATCTGCAGCACCAGCAGAAATCTCTGTCTCTCCACAGTCACAAGATATGACCATGGGAAGAGCTGTCTTCAAAGTAACACCAGAAAAGCAAACCGTCCCGACTCCAATCCGCAAGTACAATGCCAACGCCAACATTATTACGACAGAAGACAACAAAATCCACATCCACCTAGGTTCCCAGTTTAAACGTTCTCCCAGTGCTGTACCTGATGGTGCAAGTCCTGTGATAACAGTGAGACCAGTGAACATAGCAGCAGAGAAAGAAGTTGTGACTGGTACCGTCCTTCGATCACCTCGAAACAACCTGTCCTCGCGACCCGCAGCGAGCAAGGTGACAAGTACCATCACTATAACCCCTGTTACAACGTCTTCCACCCGAGGAACACAATCAGTGGTAAGCAGCCTAGTCTCATGATGTAGTCTTCGTGGTAAGGAGAAGGGCAACTCTGGTTTGGATTTGAGATACCAGAAGGAAAATGGGTGAGGTGAGGAGAAACTCTTGACTTCCCTACATTTGTTTCAGATACGAGCTTAATTATAAAATCAGAATTTGTCTGATTCATATTACCACTATTGGATGCTGATATAGTTTTGGTATTATCTCCTAAAGCAGTAATTTTCAGAGGAAGTCCCTCCAAAGTTACTTTCAAGTTATTTTCATAATGGCAATCCAGTAAAATTGCAAGTGAGAGACAGACGGACAAAGAATGATGGAGATGGCAGAGTAAGAAATTGTATTTTTATTTTCTGTGAGTGCAATTCCTGACTTTTGAAAATACTCCTCATGTTTTTTAGCTTGGTTGGCGGGTCTTTAGACTGATCATGCAGGCTGGTGTTTCTTTGGTATAATCCCATTATAGTTATAATTCAGTTAATGTCTGCTCTAATACTGAACTCCAAAGGAATAAGTAAGCAGACATATTATCATTGCTTACAGCTCCAAGCCTCTTTCAGCCAGTGAATAGTAAAGCTCTTTTTGTTCCTCTGGACTTCTGCAAGTGCTGTATTACAATAGTGCTTCCTTTAACATATTTTTTTCTGCTTTCTCTCTGGGCTTCTGTGGTGGTACCCCAGCTTGCTTTTCCTACTTCAATCAGTTTCTCACCTCTGTCTTTAATCGCAGTGGACAGTATTTATTGATAATCCTTCCCCCGATTTATTATTGGATGCAGTTTTGTGTTGCTTTAGTTGGAAACACCCTGGAAAGAAGAATTTAACTGAAATAGAAAACCATCAGTACTGTATTAGTCCAAAAACTTACTCTTACTTAGCTAGACAGAGTCTGCAACAGATGCTTAGGGGAAGATTATTTTGAGTAGGTAAACACACAGTAATATTTCCCTCAGTGTCTGTTCCTAGTTTTTGGCAATAGGTGGTTATTTCTTTCTGAACCAAGGCCTGTAGCAACATCTTTGTCTTTAATAGGCCGTGGCTGAGTTTTCTTCTATTTATTCTTTAAATTACTTTTTGAACTCATTTATACTGCTGTTTCCACAACATCAGGGGGCAGTGAATTCAGTTGTGGGCTTTGGAAAAAATGCTCTTTTGTTCAATACCTTCTATGCAATACCTTCATTGTTTACAGCCTCTTTCTTGTATCTTGAAAAATACTGAATAGTCATCCCCTGTTCATTTGTCCATGCAGCTCAGGAGTCTGCAGACCCCTACAACACGCCTCTTCAGCCATCTCTTTCCAAGCTGAAATATCGAAGTGTATTTAAGATACACTTCCACACCTTTGCAGAGAGGCTGCCATCCCCATTTAAGCCTTCTGACATTAAGAAAACTTGCATTCATCATACAGATTTGTTTGGGGTTGCACATGTGCTGTCTCTCTCCCCACATATATAATGTATTGTTGTACATTTACTGTACAGTGCTTTCCTACATATTAGAGGCAACTGTTCATTTTTTAAAAAGTCTTGAATTAATTAATTTACAAACTCCTTTGTCTCTCAGAAGCTTGGAAAACTTGTTTTTAAACTTTTCTTTTTAACTAGATGTCTGTCTCTACTGTGATGATGCACTGAACCATGGCAGACAAAACTTTTTTGTTTTGTTTTTTTCTGGCTAAAAACTGGTTTCTTTCTTCATCCTTCCTGATTTGGAATGTAAGGAAAATAGTTCAACCATAAGATTTACTTTATCTTATGCTTCCCTCTGCTTTTTAATGTCCCTAGTTAGATGAGCAGGCAACTTCGAACAAGCCCAAATGTGCCTTTTCCTCCCCAACCTCCTGCAAAAGAAAAACAAAAAAGAAAACAAGTTGCATATTCTCCAGCTGTTTTGCAAATGACAACTTTACAAAACAGTCAGAAAAAACCAAGTATCTGATCATTTACTCAGTAACCCTAGCAGAAACCAACATTGATACAATTTTGAGGGTTTAAGTTAATAAAATCAAACAAGACAAATTGATACACAGCTGCTTTCTTTAGCTCACTGGATTTAAGTTTTGTCTTAATGTTCCTTATACAAGATGCTTTGTACAATGTGCTAATGCAGTGCCAAGCTACAAAGGGGAAGTCTGAAATTCCTAGCTCTCATCTCTTCCTATAACAGATTTGCAGTTACTGTATTCCTGTTTGAAAACATTTAGTTTTTCCCATTTGAATTTATAGAGTTATCTTCAGTGTGCACACACAGTACTTTTAAATGTTCAGCCTGAACTGTGGTGTCTCTCTGCATATGTGAGTCCAAAACCAGAGTCTGTGATTTCATTGTGGACCCTCATGATTTTTGAATCCCATGAATCCCATGGATTAATAGGGGTTCTGGTTGCATTGATTTACACTGACATACTCTATAGAGTATCTAGAGATTTATATTTTATTATATAAAATGAGACCCTGTCCAAAAAAAGACACAGGCATCTGAAGGAGAACATGAGAAATTTTTGAGCATTTAATCAAGAAGAATCAAAAAAGGCACCCCTCAGTGACAATATCTCCACTGGTACCTGGACTCACTGGACTCAAATGTTTTGGAAGTGCTTCATGTTGTGCCTGCTGGACAAGCCCAGGGCTGGCCAGCTGAGCAGCAGGTCTCATCACAACAGTCCCACAGGGGTCTCCACAGCAGGAGCTGATGTGATGGAGCCTATTTGATCAGTTGGATTGAGTTCTGCGTTTAACAGAATCATCACCACTTTGATGAAAAAAAAAAAAAGAAAAAGAACCAAACCCTAAAATGGTAATTGCCTTTTCTATGGTAGCCTATGGATTTAGACAGTTCCCACAGAAGTAGAAAACAGGGGGGTTGGTTCTCCTTAGCTTGATTAGAGTCAAACCCACTCCTAGGGAGATACCTGAACTACCCTAGCAGACCTAGGAGATTATTTTTTTTATTACAGGTGGACCACAGAGTACATGGAGACCAAAATGAGCCTGAAACTGTAGCCTGGTTGTTAGTCTTGCCTTAGCACATTGGCCCAAATTCCTGTTCCCAGGACAGTTCATACAGTTTACAGTAAAAATCCCACAAAATAAAAACAAATATTCTTTGTGGACAAAAACCCAAACAAACTGTGGTGCCTATATCCTGTTTTTTGATTCAAGCCTTATATTTGGTTGTAGGATTGCTGGTGAATTTGGATCTTCTTTGGCTACCAGGATAGGTGTCAGTATTATAATCACATAATCCCTGTGCTCCCCACCTCCTACAAGCCTGACATCAGTGCCAGCTGTTTATGCTGCCAGGCTCCACAGTGACTTCAGTGCCATGCAAATCTGCAGGAAGCAGAGGGAATCCTGGCTGCAGCAGAGCCAGCGTAGTGGCACAGCACCAACCATGCAGAGCGTCCTGTGACCGGAGCAGGAAGGCACAGCTGAGAGGCTGTTGGGTGCCAGAGCAAACTAGACACACATTTATGCAGTTATGAGGCTACTTTCGTTTGGGCAGCATTTAGTTTAAGGTTGGCATCTAAATGTAGCTCTTTGTAGGTGACCCAGATATGCTTTAGGCATCTGCTAGAGCTGCTGGAGGTCCAGGGATCAGCTCATTTGCCCATGCAGAGGTGTGTGGTGGTGGCTGTGTGTCCTGTGGCAGTTGAGACACATACATGAGGCTGGGAGGCATAGCACAGACCTGTACCTTTCTGCTATGGCAGCTGATGGGACACCTCAGATGGCACAGGATGCCTCAGTGTGGGCACCTGAGTCAGCCTGTTGTCATCAGTCCCCTTGTCATCCCTGAGGCCTGTGTGCTGGCTCCATGGAGACTGGCGCGTGATTTCAGCTGAGACATGGCTAGCTTCAGTGTGAGCTGAATTGCCCACGGGGGTCCACTGACTGTATTGGCTACTTTTCCAGTCCCACTCTTTCAGGATGCAATTGCCTAAACATACTTTTTTAGTGTCATTTTAAGTGCCTACCTAACTTCCAGCTGCTTTATCAGAGATTGCATGTCTCCTTGGGTCCTGTGGCTTATCTGCCAACTCCAGCTTGAGTAGCCCAGGGCATCTCAAATTACACTAGGTGTCTGTTGGTCACTGAACTGAACCATTTCTGTCCAGGGCAAGCTGGGCCCTGATCAGATCAGGGACAAAAGCTGAAAATCACCTTTGTTCTTAAAATATTCCAGAAGTCAATGTGTGCATGAAAGCACTGGTGTGTGTCAGTAAAATGCCCCAAGCAAGATCTGTTACAAACTACTAAAACATGCTAAATGTTTTGTACATTCACATTACTTTTCTTCCTTTAATGGGACTGTCCAGCCTTACTGCAACTTCACAGGTTAATAAAACCAGCCAGTGTCCTCGGTGAGGGCTGATGATTGACTAAACCAGCTCAGCAGTTGTGTGTGTTCATCCCACTCTCAGTAATGTCTCTAGTAACCTCACTCAAGTCCCCATGGTGTTCCAACACCACATAATGCCTCACTAGCTCAGAGCCAGCCCACATCACCCAGCGTCCCATGGGGTCTCATCTCGTGCGCTCCATGCCAGCTGTGTAAGAGTTCCTTCCTGTTTGGACCCACATTCCTGGATCAAGCAAAAGGCAGCAGCCTACAGACAAACAGGGCTGGAAGGAACGGCCTAGAGTTTGTTTCTTGGAAGGAATGGCGAAGAGACAGACAGTGGGTTTTCTGCCAGACAGGACAGACACAGGGGAGAGTGTCCTCTGCTTGCCTGCCCCGTCACGCACCAGAGGGGACTGCCGGCTGGAGAGGCACCTTTGTGCCATTTCACTTGGCAAACACAAAATACTTTAGCAGCTGCGTGTGAAGCAGGCATTAGCTTCCATAGGATGAACATGTTAGTATGCTGTAAGGAAGGCAACTAAGAAATTTAAACCAAGTTAGAGTCTTTTCAAAGTGCTTTTGAGTGATTTAGGCTTGAAATGAGTAACTTGAAAGTGCCCAAATCCTCAGTTAATAATTTACATGTGAATAAAGCTGAAGAAATGCCTGAGATTCCAGCTACTCCATTTGATTGCCTCATGTTTACACACTGTGGAACTCTTTCAGGGAGTACAAGATGTTTGTCATTTGGGTTCCCTGGGATGTTGACATATTTTCCAAGGCTGATGGAATGCATTTGCATGTTTTGCCCTACACAATTGTATGGGCCTAACTTGTTTTGACATCTACATGTGAGTTCCATATTAGCCTTTACACTGCTATTGTAAATGTTGCTCTTAGTTATTGAAAATGGCTTCCTTCCTGTCAAGCAGACTGCATTCAAGTTTTCCAATTGTGATTTTTTTTGAGTGTACACATGGGGTTTTGAACCGTCCTTAGAAGATTAAGGAATGGTTTTCCTTTGCATACTCAGGATGCGGACAGAAAGCTCTGATGCTACTGACTGAAAAATGTTGGAGAGAGAAAAGTGCTCCTTTGTTGAGCATTTTTACGAGAATTTTTTAGTAAATGTGCAAATACATGTTGCAGCTGACATGATCCCTTAACTGAATCTATTTCAGTAGTTTAGTTTTATTTTACTTAAGTGTCATAAGTTACAGGGTTTAGTAATTTAGCAGATGGGTCTAGCTAGAATTCCAGGATCTTATGAGAATTGTTCTCTTTCATTAGATCAAAGTCTTCATCCATTATCTGAACAGAAAACAGTCACATATGAAAGTCAGCCGAGACACTGAAGTTGTCACCATGAACATTTGTGTCTGTATTGCACACTGCAGGAGATAAAGCCCATTTTCCTTTCAGAATTGTCACGTTTAGAAGTATTCTCTTTAGGTCATGGTTCATAGGGGGTAGCTTCCAGTTTTGACCTTGCAGAGTACATGTATCATTATCTGGCCAACAGAGACAGAAAATGCAATTGGCCCTTTTGAATCTTTTTATCCTATCCAAGTACTCCCTGTGCGTTTACAGGGTGGGATTCAGTTGCCTAAGCATATGAACTGATTACAGTTTCAAAGCTATGGGATAACTCTGGCCTGGCCTCTGTTTCAGACTCCAGAAGGGCACATGAGCCATGTTGAGTCTGCCAGCTCCAGAACAACCACTTAGGCCATTTTTATTTTTTTTTTTTTAATTCTGAAGTACTCACACTTGAGGATAAGTGTGCTTGGTAGGCTGTTGGCCAGGGCAGCAGATTGGCAGAAACAGTAAAATGACCATGTCCACACTGCCATGAGGTATCCCTGGAAATCTGGGTTGGCTGCTTCGCCTTCACGAGAGTTCATCAAGTTGTGGGTAGGACTAGAGGGGGAGAGCCTTTTTCTACATCCTTCCTACCACAGTCACAGGAAAAGGAAATCCCAATCTTTGCTCTGTCTCTTTCTCTCAACTCCCCTGCTCTTCCAGTGCAGAAATAAGTGGGCCCAGCCATGACCCCAGCATACTTTGTGAAGTAAAATTCAGTTTTATCTATAATGCTGAGCTATCATGCCCCAGCTCTGAAAATGTGGCAGTTACCCTGGGTTCAGTGTTAGCCTCACATGGCTATACTGTTTTGAGGACTCTTGTTAGTCTCTCTACACAATGCTAATATTGTACCTGTCTGACAACTAAGCCAGTGTTCTGGTATCCTCTAAGGTCAGCCTGCACTGTGTTCTGCTGTGGAATGGGAGTTTTGCAATGATTCCCATCCTGATCCCATCTTGATCCAAAACACTGGACCTCAGATTTGGGAAACTCATTTGATCTCGACTTACCTTCAGCCATATTCTAGCAGTATGTGCCACAGCCAGATTCCAAATGTGAACGTTACTTGATTTGGAATAGTGTTGTTTAAGAGATAAATGAAGAACCAATGAAAAGTGTAAGGTAAGAATCTATGTGAAGAAAAAGTCCTCCATTCATGGCATTTTTCTCTGTCTCTCTCTTTTGCAGACAGGCCAGGATGGGTCATCCTCGAGACCTACACCCACCCGCATTCCTGTGTCAAAAGGTATGAAAGCAGGAAAGCCAGTAGTGGCAGCCCCAGGAGCAGGAAATGTGACAAAATTCGAGCCTCGTGCCGAGACTCAGTCTATGAAAATAGAACTGAAGAAATCTTCAGCCAGCAGCTCTGCCTCCCTGGGCGGGGGTCAGGGCTGATGGCAGTGGCTCAGGGGGTACGTTCTGCAGGTTTTACTGCTCCCATGGAAGTCAGCCCCCCCGTCTGTGTAGTTGCTCACGTTTGCCTGTACTAATGAAGTCCTGCAGCTGTCACTTACAAAAAACTAATAAGTGTGTGCACTGACTACTTAAGTAACAATATCCTTTTGTTTTCTTGAATTCAAATTTAAAAAAGGAAAAAAAAGCCATCATAAAGGCAGTTCTTGTACGCCAGGAAGATTTTCAGTCTAGGAAATGAGAATGGTGCAGCTAAACTAGGTTATTAATCTAGTTCAGGAATTCTTAATGATGGACTTGGTCATTTGAAGGAAGTTCGGTCACTTTTACTGATTGTCTTTCACCTTAGGGAATCACTTTCCACCTTTGCTACTGCATGGGACACTTTCCTTCCTGCCTGTGATCACATTATTGAAATGCCACTTGGCCTAGGGAAGCAATGCCAGGAGACAGTGCACTTGAGGTCCTGTTTTACTGAAAGCTAGTACCTCAGCTGTGGGAGGGAGGGGAAGAGAGAAAGGATGGGCACTGTGTGACCTGCCTTCTCTTGAGGAGCCTCCCATCCGAGTCAGTGTTTCTCAGTGGTGAGGTGCTTTCTCAAGATAGTTACAGAATTCAGGGGCATAGGGATGTAGCACAATGTTTGGCAGCAGCAGTGTTAAGCACCAACTTAATTCTTCCAGAGGTGATTAACATTTGTAGACAGTACTCAAAAACAGGTCCCTGACTTACACACACTGGGTACTGCCAGCTCAGTGCTCAGATGAAGCTACGTGAGCCAAAAAGTCTTTAGTCTTTAGCAAAGCTGAAGAAACACTGATCTGGCTAAAATCAATACTGTCCATTTATGGCTGCTCCAAAGATCACTAACACTATGAAGCAAGTCACTCTGTTGACCTGACTAGGTCAGGTAGTTGTTGTTTTCTTTGTTGGGATCTTATATTTAAACCTTAGTTGTCAAGCATCTGTATGTCTTAGAGGGGAAGTCAGTAAAGACTGCTGGTGGCAGGAATTGCTATCTAAAGGCACAGCTCAGGCACAGACAGTGAAAGAGAGAGGGTTTGATAAGGAAGTTAGTCTCATTTTTCAGTGCTGTATAATATGTTGTCATAAATACAGACTGCCTCACAATGCCATGGTGATTCATTGTTTTTCCTTCCCTCTTTGTAATTTCCTCATTTATACGCTTGCGTTTTTTAAGCATGTTCTAAGGAATTGTTCCAGCATGGAAATAGTGTGGATGCCCATGATTGTTATGATTTTTTGATTTAATAACAGTAAAGTTATTAAAGGACATTTCCATTAAGCGATCAATTTCCACAGAAGAAAGTCTCAACCAAAAGAAATGGAGCCAAGCAGACCAATAAGTGATGGGTTTAAAGTTTGTATAATGCTTCAACCATCTCAGCAAGCTGTGAAGGACCCAGCGGTTGAAACAGCTTTCAGAAAGCAAGGCGGGAAGACCACCCATAAATAATAAATACAATTCACAGAAAGGAAAATGCACCCGTGGGTGAAATATGAAATGGCTTTCTGTCTAGGAGAAGAGATTTGATGGAAGAATCTGTCACAGAAGGTCAACAAAATTATATTCATCCAAGCAGTGTTTAGTTTTCAGTCTGTGATTTGCATTGCTCTCCAGTTTAAGATCCAGATATAGCAATTAGCTGACCATAAAGCTGGTATTTTATTATTCGCATGAAGGGCATTTTTTAATTTGCCACATCAAAAAAGAAGTAGGTTTTGGGTTTTTTACATATGTAGCACCTACAGTACCTGTTAATTCTAAGGTTCTGGTTCCTATGGCCTCCAAAAATCAGATTAATATTTGTAGCATTTTTCCCAACACCCTGTTCAGTATTTCAGATAAAACTTGGGAACTGGAATTATCAAGCAATGTGAGTTACTGTTTCAGAAATACATCAGATGCTCTCAAGTAATTCTTATCACTTGAAAGCCTCAGTATGTCAATAAATTGGTGCTGAGATCTTACTGTTCTTGTTGTAACACGGATTTTTTAACAGATGTTTGAAGAAAACACATTTTTAAGAGCTTTTTGCTGGATATTCACTCTAAATACTGGCACTGAAGCAAGTCTTAAGGTCAAAACAGTCGTTTAAATAATATTGTGAACATGAGCCCTGAGCTAATGTGGCTTGATACAGTGATGAACTACAGCTGCCTTTTAAGCCTTCCTTATGTCAGAGAAACTTAGTTCCTTAGTTAACTGTTGCTGCAGTCAAGGCAATGTTCTGTGCGTGCCTGTGGTTGAAAATTTTTTTTTTTGTTTGAGGTCTAAGAAACTAATTCACCTGCAGAAACAAGCCAGCCACACAGTACCTGAAGTCCAGGGTACACAAACTGGTTCAACTAGAGCCAGAACTGCAGGCGCAATCTGGGGATTGCTCCTATGGCGTCAGTAGGATTTGATGAGACAGATTTGAGAAATTCCAGACAGGTCAGACTGAGGATCCTGTTATTTTTCCCAGGGGGAGCACAACAAAAAGGAACTTACGCTCCACAGCAGAAACCTAAAGAGTTGGAATCAGGCAGCTGGTTTAACTGTTAGCTAAAAATAGATACTTAGTTATAAATTTTAACATCTGTTTTAATTGAACTTATCCTTGTTTCTTAAAGGTAGAAGAAGGTTAAGATGAAGAAAAAAGAAAGCCTATAGTTCAGAAGTCTTAAAATTTGAAGTGTAACTCTGTATTATATTGGAATTTCCTCTAAGTCTGAAGGCAATTATGTTTAGTGACTACAGTAAGACTCTCCATTCAATAGGTCAGGTCCAGAAGGCAGTTTAAACAACCAAGTCTAAAGACAGTGTCTAAGCCCCAGAGGCATCCTGAAGATCTTCCTGATGTTCTTCCACTGCCTTTGTCTAGTCAGGGTTTCTGTTGTGAGTTAACTCTAGCACTGCAGCCTCTGAACCTCACCAAGATCCATAATCCAGGTATTCCTGTATTTCTTCTAAGAGCTTCTAAGTCAAGCCACAATTTCATGGTCACTTAAAGTCAGGATGTAATCCCACACTGGAGTGAAAAGCTGTAGTCCTGTCTTTGTCAACTCCAGCCAAGAAAGTGCTCACTTAGTCACTCAACATGTGGTTGTCCCTTGAGCTGGCACAAGTGTTTGAACCTAACTGGGGAACTGATCTGAATTAAAAGGAATGTGGCAAAACAAAGAAAGGCTAGCTTCAATATAGCTCAGTTCCAGGCTCTCAGGCCTGAAAAAGAAGGAAGGCACAGGAAACCAGGGGCTGTTTTAAAGTGACTGGAATCATGAAGGCTTCCTAGTAGATAAATACCACAGAAATGGAGGGGTAGTACTGCTTATTTTAAAAAGTTTTTGATTGAAACCTTTTTTCAAATGTATGAGACAGATCCCCCTTTCCAGCAATACCTGAGGAGACTCAAACTCACATCAGCTGCAGGCAGGTTCACCAATGGCACTGACAGACTGAGGGGGGGAAGAAGGTGGCATTCTTATTCCCTCCTTTGAAGGCTGTGCTGTTCTGCATGAAGTGCTTCAGTATTCACTGAGCAGAAACAAGTGAGTGGTTGAGTGGTCAGGATATTGAACTAGGAGGAGGGAGCCCCCCTGTTTTCATGTCTCTGTTCCAAAGGCTGCCTTTGAGCCCAGCCTTTTGTGAAAAAAAAAAGCTTATAAGATGAAGTGTCTGTGTTCGTCCATCGTTCCATCTGTCCTTCCCTGATGAATAACACTGAACAGAGCAACCAGTTTCAACCAAACCTAACAAAGCAATAGGGGTCTTCAGAATAAGAAGTTTTTCCACTTTAATGAAAAGGGTGGCAGAGAAGAGGAGCAAGATCTTAGCAGTGCCCCACTGCGTGGAAGACTAGAGCATGAGCTCACCTTCATACAGCATCAAAGAATGAACACAAGAGAGTGATGTCAGAAGTACCACAAGGACAAGCTTTGTTCAAACCTCAGATTTGACAAGGCAACAAAGAATCCAACTCTGATACACTAATCCATAGGAAAATACTAGGGCCTTTATTTACAGGGCTTTTTTGTATTCTACGTTAGTGGATTATAATGCGTAAAACAAGCTTTCCTAAGTGATCATCTGGAATCATTCATCCTCATACTTTCTCTCTCTCTTACCTTTTTCTCTGTCATTTTGTTTGGTTTTTATTTTTTTAATGAAGTGGAACAATTTCAATAGCAAAACACACTCAACTCAGAGTCATAATGATAGTTAAAATGGTTCGTCAGGAAACTAAGGTGGCTGAGAACCAATCTTTGCATTTTTAGTTGCTTTCAACATCAGCTGGAGAGATATCCTGTTTTGGCTGATGGCATGGCCATATAAGCAGTTGTGATAAGCCAAGCAATGGGAACATAGGACAGCAGTAAGGTGGAGAGGGGGAAGAGCAGGGAAAATGCCAACTCATTCATGAGCAGCACACATGGACCGAGAAGGTGCACCCTCAGTTCTCCAGGTGATCTCTCTGATTTTAAATTTAGTTCCTAATAAGTGTTCTACTGTGTTTCCTACGTTTGATCCCATCACCAGAATTACTGCTACATGTGAGTATTGCTAATGTAGTCATTAGCAGATCAATACATTTGAGAAAGCGTGACTAAAAATGAAGGAGCACAGAGCTTCAACCCTCATGCCTGAGGGATTTCTCTCAAGATTGGTAAACATGCTAAGTTAATGGCAGAGGTAAAACATATTTTCATTTATTTTGCGCACCCGTTTTCCTTTTGTGACACCCATTAGTGCGAATTTTGAAAAATCAAACAACACTTTGTGGTTCTTCTGAATATGTCCACGGAATATGCATGTTACTGTATTTAAACCACAAACCACTTACGGCTAATAGTAATTAGCATCATGTGAGTAATCTCTAAAGCCACATTAATATATTGATTCATGCCAACTGGATGCCAAGTCATAGGTCACTGCCTGAAATACACTACTCATGTTCAAAAACATGCTCAATATTTACATGAATATTCAGTAATTCTGATCAGATGTGGAAGAGCATGTCTTTAAAGAGAGTAAGCTACTGTCCTGCTGGGTGTCAGGTACTTGGCATAAACCGCAACAGTCAGGACAATTTTAAGACCAATTATATGTTCCCATCACACATCAGTGGCCAATTTCATTGAGTTGCTTTGAAATACGTAGTTTGCTGGCAGGAGTTTCTGTGAGCTCATCTTTCAAACTAAATGAAAACAACATCAGTGTGAGTTATCCTTATTCCCTTAATTTTGCCTGAGCTCTCTCAGGCAAAACTATATGCAACATTTCTCTTTACAGATGTTAACTTCACTTTGAATCTTACTCGCTACACACTGCTCTTAACCTGGCTTTTTTTTGAAAATGCCACCAGGGTTAACTACTGTGAGGTTCAGAACTATCAGCTCTGGGAGTCAGGTGTGAAACACTCAGGTGTGAATTGTTCTCCAAACAAAAAAACTTTTATTGGGATTTTAAAAGTAGAATTACTGATGTATGTACTCTTCTGTTGCTTGGGCGTGTGCTGTCTGTTGCACATAGATTTTTGTATTATCTGGTGTTACTTGTTTGTATATATTGTAAGAAGAAATTAAACTTTGTATGTTAAAATGTCAGTTTATGTGCTTCATTATATGAACCGGTATCCTGATGTGTTTCCTGGAGAAGTTCTGATTTACATCAGTGGGACTGAAAGCAGAATTAGCTGTTTCACATTAACTGTCATGAAAATCAATTGTTTAAGTTAATTCATAGCTCCTGGAACTATTCACATCTATAACGCTAAAAAAATTTATGTAATCATATCATTCTGACATAATCATATTCCTACAGAGGCTGGTCCAAAAGAACTCTTACAAAATGTGCCCTACTCTAATTTTAGCTTAATAGCTGCTCAGACACCTCTTTTAGTAACTACAGTATGTGTGTGTGTATAATATATATGTTTATATATATGTAAGCATTTCAAATACATACAACTGATAGACAATTATTTGATTTTTTTAAAATAGTTTCTCCTACTCTTATGCAAAATTGCTATATTGGGCCTGTAGGAGGAAGACTGATTGAGAAACATGCTGTAGTTTTGCTGTTCATTCAGTGACTGAGCCTTAACAAGGATATTTTTCTGATACCCATTTAGTTTTTAGAATTTTGTGTCTAAACTCCATATTAATATATACTGTGCATAGTAAATATTAAGAAAATAATTGTTTCATATAGAGTTCACATGACTCCCATTTAAATTAGGGGAGAGTTTGCCTGAGGTTACAGTCTGATATTATATAAATGCAGATTTTAA